ACAGACTGTAGGATATAGCTGAACATAAAGGCTATAGTATTATGTCATCAATTTTTTAAAATTGAATCAGTTTAAATACCTGTAGTGACATGGCAGAACTTGCAAACTAAAAAGTTAACTTAAACCTCTTTTTTTCCAAAGTTCTCTGGGGCTATACACCTAGCTCCATTTCCTACCTTGACATAGTTGCTTGGTAATTACAGCTGTCATATCCGGTCTTTATTCTTATTTATTTTAAACACTTATATAGCCTCCCATCTTGTAACAAAGTCTAGGGCAGCTCCCAATCAAAAGTTAAAATATAAAAAACATTATTATAAAAAAACAAATGCATTAAAAGCAAAAACCTGGTGCCAAGTCAAGATTACAATTTCTTTGTTTGTAAAATTTATTGGCTGTCCATCTTACCACAGAGTAACTCTGGCAGCTTATGCAGTCACCTTATCTTATCCCAGCACTTGGGCAAAAAGCCAGGTCTTCAGTATTTTACAGAAGACAAATAGTGTGGAGGCCTGCTGAACTCGAGGGGGAAAGAGTGTTCCATAGGGTAGGGACTGCCATAGAAATGTTTTCTAGCTCCCATAAGATGTTTAAGGAAATTGACTAGAAATGTGTCCACTCTGTCTAACCTGGTAGGACAGGTAGATGTCTTTAGGGAAAGGTGGTCCCATAGATTTTTCAGAGGGCAACTCACTTAGGAGGGAGGGAGGGAGGGAGGGAGGGAGGGAGGGAGGAAGGAAGGAAGGAAGGAAGGAAGGAAGGAAGATTGTGGATATTGGCAGAACATGCATGAAAAACTAGCTGGACGACTTTCAGCCAGTCATTCACTCTCATCCAACCCACCTCACAAGATTGTTGTTGTAAGGAAAACAGGAAAAGGAAGGCGTATTAGGAATGTTCTCTGCCTTGTTATTTATAAAAATAATAAAGGCAGAATTAAAAAAATAGGAAGGAAGGAAGGAAGGAAGGAAGGAAGGAAGGAAGGAAGGAAGGAAGGAAGGAAGGAAGGAAGGAAGGAAGGAAGGAAGGAAGGAATTGCCAGAATACTCCCCAAATTTATAATTCTGAGTGGATGGCAATTGTATTGATTTGAAAGTGGTTTCTACAATTTCTGCTTGCAGTAGCTTTCTACAGCCATGTCAAACTGGAGTCTAAGGAAACAAAAGCACAAATGTAACATTAGCTACTTCCACTCTTATAGCATATGAGTTACTGCTTGGTAAGATGGGGCAGCCAATAAATTTTACAAACAAACAAATATGAACTATTGTTCAGATTGCTATACAGTTTTTGTGGTATGGCAATCTAAGCCTTATCATTCCACTTGTTTCAAGTGAAACAATACAATATGATGTATGCTAGACGTTTCATCATAGATGGCATAGATCATATGTCTTAAAGCTGTCAGCAAATACTGTATAGCACAAAATGAAAGCTATTTTGAAAACATCTGCTTTTCCAACAAGAGTAATGCATTGTTTCTAGAAATAGGTCTGCATGCCTCCAACCATAGCAGCACCCAGTGGTCACTGCAGTATATTTGGTCTACCTTTTTCCACCAAGACAATGCTTTCTTCAGCGGTGTAATATAGGACTTGTGCTCCACAAAGCATTTCAGCACCAAGACAGATTCCCGCCCCCCACTTCATTGGATAAACTGATTACCAAATGTCCTTCTTTAATACAGTTCCAGAATAGTTAGAAATGGATGGATGCACGTTATGTGCAGAGACCTGTAACCCAGCCATCTTTGAAACAGCTACCAAACATCATGTGCTTATCTCTTGCTGTCAGATTTCTTAGAGGAGGTGGAGGAAACGATCCTAACATTTGGTGTAAAAACAAAACTAAAAAAATCCAGATTTGGAAAATGAGTAACCATGGTAGAATGAATTGCAGGGCTACATGATGTTGATTTTTCAGCCAAGCATAGATTTAATTAAAAAATGCAGATAGCAAGCCAGGTTTTCATTTAAGGAACCCCAAGCTCAATACTGTATATAAAATAACTGTAAAAGCAGGTAGGTGGTTTTAAGTTAGCACTCATCCAAACTAATGCATTTGCCATAGTTCCAACAGGTAGAAAGGTATACAAGGGTCTCAGTCCCAGTTAAATATTTTAAAAATAAACAACTGACACAGTAGATTTAATACAGAGATTTCAAGCACATAAGGCCTTGGCTAGAACAGCAGGCAGGAGTGCATTTTCTATCAATTTGCATTAAAGATCCTCTATGCCTACAGGCATTTTATTTAAGCGATAATCTGCCAAATAATACAGTGCACTCAAATTCACGTACTCCCGCAGAAAGTCTAAGAGTCTGAACAGCAGAAAATATATTGGAAAAAAAATCCTGCTGTTATGTAACTGAAGCTTAATTACCTTCAGTTACATTAGTGCCATTTTTTTCAGAAGCAAAGCCTGCACTAGGAGGCAATATTTTGCACAAAAATGTGGGTGTCTATTGTATGTTTGTGTGTTTTAAATAAAGACTGCAATTAAAGGAGGCATACCCAGAGGATAACAGCTTTGGCAAAATGTTGCCTTTCATGTGCCTTGCTGATTGTGCCCCCACCATTACGAATTACAACAAGCTGCTGCCCAAATATTCAGGACAGGATCTGAGCAAGCTGTTATCTTTCCAATATTTGATGTTCTGATCTATAAGTTCTGCCCTCTCCTTCAGTTAAGATGGCATTTTGATACATTAATAGACATTACAAAGAACTCTGTCCCAACAACTTCCCAGGTTTTTTTTCTTGAAAGTGAGTTTTCTTCGAAGGCTTTGAACTATTCACACACAAACACCAAATTAGAAATTATGTAATTTGAAAATCAATGCAAAGGAGGGTACCTATTTTAAAATAAAGTGAATGCAATGTAATTTAATTAGCAGCAATTTTACAAATTCCTAAATGTACAACAATGTACTATATTAACCCTTCTGGAATACTCCCTTTCCATTTGGCATAAGAGCACAAGTGCATGGGGAAGGGAGATTAAATTGTCTTGTAAAGAGAAGTGAGCAGTTTCTTAAACCTCTTTCCCAAGGATGCCTATTCTTTGAAGTAGCTCCTGTATTTACAAACAGAAGAAAGAGGAATCCTAGGTTACCAGAAAAACCTGCAGCTTTTTATATATCTAAACCAGGGATAGTCAACCTTGGCTCTTTTATGACTCGTGAACTTCAATTCCCAGAATTCCTGAACCAGCTTAGCTGGCTCAGGAATTCTGGGAGTTGAAGTCCACGAGTCATAAAAGAGCCAAGGTTGACTACCCCTGATCTAAACTGTTATATCCGATAAGCTATAAGCAGAGTAGGGTGGAGAACTGGACATGGAATTTCAAGAATGAAAAGGTTATCAAGAATTCCTTCTTAGGACTCATTTGGACATTAATGATGTAAAACATTATAGACAAACCAGATCGCAAAAAAAGTGCAATTTATGAATATACAGCATATCCAGTAGCTTAAAGGAATTTGACATGACAAAGCATTCACAAGCAACCAGCAGAATAAATATCACTTCTAGAAGACAGGAAATAAAGGAACATTATTGAAGAAATTCACAGAAACCTATCACAGACACACACACACAGCAATGTGTATTTTATATTCATACAGAGCAGGATAAACTTGTATTTTGGCTGTGAAGTATCTTACTCCTTCTGTATTTTGATTAAAAGCTAGATAGTTTTCACACAAGTGAGACTTTTCTTATAAGGCAGCCTTGCAGGACTTCTCCATGTCCATCCCGAGAACACTGTCTCTTTCCTTGGCTCAAAGAACTCACAGAAGGAATATGGAGGGAAATTCTCAAAACATCCTTCTGAAAACTGACACCTCTTGGTGACCTGATGGTTATTTTCTCAATTAATATGTACTTGCAGGTACAACTGCTGCCCTCTAACACACTCCCAAAGGAGTGTTACTCCCATACCTTCCAATATACAATGTAATACAGTTGCCAATCCCTCTGGGCCTTCACAGGGACTGGAGAAACAGAATCAGAGAGAGAGAGAGAGAGATCAAGGCACACCGCCATCTTAACTTCTTGTACTATTTTGAGATGTTCTAAATAGCAACAGGTGCTAGATGGAGGGTAATGTCTGACTGCACATTACTACTATGTTACATTTGACCATTAGAAAAATCAGCTAAATGACTGATTACATATAAAAGAGTTTTGTTCTCCAGAACTTCTTAAATTTTAGTTTAATGAAGCCTAAGATCTTCAGTATTTGGGACTACTATATACTCTTCCTAAATTGATGAAGTGGGATTTTTTTGGCAACTCACCCATTTGTTCATAAGGCATTCTTTCTCTTTTGTCAGATAATATGCCGTGATCCTTAGAATGGTAAATAATTTCAATAATTTGTATCCTAAGTTAGATCAGTTTTTGGAGAAACTCCATGACAGAGGTTGTATTCTAGGTAGCTGAAAAACTGTTTCTATGACCTACAGGCCAGCACCAATTCCAGAAAAGAGTTAAAAGTATTGCTTAATAGTTATCCTTTTGCCTGAATATTCTTTCAACAAAAAATCCAAGAAGCATTTATCAATACAGTTGAGTTTTCTTCGTTTCTTTCTTTGGAATAGCATCACACCCCACCCTACCCCTAACTTAATGCCCATTTAATTTTAGAAAAAAAATATGAATATGCTATGAATGTTGTTCCTTTTTAAAACTGGGGTAATGGTGTTATTTATATGGAGTTCTTGTATCATTCCTTGCTAAGGAATTATTTGTTTGTATGTTTTTAAATTTACTTCTAGGACAAGTATGTAAGTTGTTCAGAAAATCACAGTGGCATATAAATCAAACAATCAAACAAACAAACATGTTAGTACCAATCATGAAATCAACAGGCCACCACTGAGTTTGTTTCACCTAGTCTCTTTCAATTCAGGGGCTCTGTTAATTACACTTGAGTACATACAGTTGGCTTTTCCTTTTTCCCTTCCCTTCTTCCCTGATTTAATTTACAATTAGGGAGGAAGGGAAAACAAATTAAGACAAATTAAGCTTCTGTGTGATTGAATCTCACATCTGGTGAAGATTATATTCTTTGCCAACTCCAGGGAGGTATACACAAACATGCCTAGAACAGTATGACTCAAATAATGATCAAATCAACTTACCACCTAACTCATTTTGTAGGAGGTACTGTCTGTCCCATCAACAGCTCATAGTGGCTACTAGTGCTTTGATCCTGGCTACTATGCTATATTTTTCCAATTTTTATTTGAAAAACCAGGAATTCTTTAACCACTTAGTAATGAAGTGGTTCAAAAAATATGGATAAAATAATTTCCAGTGTAGGACAAAGAGGAACAACTAAGTGCTTCATTAGAGGCTGAATATCAGCATTGGTTCTGAGGAAAATAATAAGCAATATTAAAATAAGTGATTTAAACAGAAGTAACATATTTTAGAGTCATCTCAGTCTATGGGCAACTTTTTTTGCAGCGGAAAAGAAAGGACAGGGTATTACTGTTGTTACTGTTCCTGAGGCATTCAGATGGGTTTGGATGTCCGCCTCAGAGAGGTCCCCTATATTGACCTATTCGTAGTAGAACAGAAAACAGCTTTGAGAGTAAATGGTGAAGGAAATTTGCCTTTAGGGAATTTCTGTGTCTTGCTTCCTTTGTCTTTTGCAGGGAGCAATTCTTGATGCCTCTCTCAAAGTAGCTATATCACTTGCTATTGGCGCAAGCTGCATCTTCTTGTGTTTTACTTGATGTTTTTGAGCAAGGCAGTTCGTGCATTGACCACAGCTTTGAAAGCGTCCTCACTGCCTGGAGCCATACACTTATCTGGGTGGAGGAGCACTGCCAACTTTCGATAGGCCTTGTTTACTTCATCCCTGCAGAGCAAGAGAGACAAAGATAATGGAAGAGTGCAATATAAATGAGTCTATTTATAGAACGATAAATCTTAAAATGAAAGTCTTTCAACTACCTAAAACTATTTGAATTATACCAATGAAGAACTACAATTATTATTCATTTCGGTTCACCAAGTAAATAGAAATCTAAACAAACAAAAAAATAAAACTGAATTTACAGCTATATTCAGAACTTGGAGGTCCATTATAGCTTCATCTCCTGTATTGCTCTAGACCAGTGGTGGCGAACCTATGGCACACGTGCCAGAGGCGGCACTCAGAGCCCTCTCTGTGGGCATGCACACCGTCGTCCCAGCCCCGCCTCCCCGTGGCCCTCTCCTCACCGGAGGAGAATCGCCCGAGCAGCGCAGCCAAGGACATGGCAGCTGGGCAGCGGGGACAAGACACTGCAATCGTGCCCCGTCACGTGCAGATGATGCTGCAGGTGGAGGGCGTGGCTGCCATGGCACTGCTGGGCTGCCATGGCGATCTGTGGAGGACCGTGGAGGCAGTGGGTGGGCGGGGTGGGGACAGAGCAGGGACGGGCTGGGGCAGGGGCGAAGGGGGGGTGGGCGGTGGCGGGTTTTGGGCACTCGGCCTCTAAAAGGTTCGCTATCACTGCTCTAGACATTTAACTCCAGACACAGAATAACCATAGTTTCAAAAAACATTTCTTGTCATAGACGGTACTCCCTCCATTCTCAGTTCAGAAGAAAGGGCTGGATAATGAGCAATGACTAACTGACGTGGTCAATGGACACTGGAGAACTTACATCCATTAGGAGCCAGAGGGGGAAAAATGAGGCCTAGGGTAAATAGCTGGTTGTTGTGAAGATATATACTGGCCAAATATCTCCTATCTATACATAAAAAGGTTGCCATAAATTAGTAGATAACTTCTTATATTTTCAAAATTCAGAGCTTTACTATTACTTCTAGTCCAACTCTATCTTGCTCATTTCTACACCAGCATAGATTATTTATTCTATAATAGTTAGATTCTTCCTTACCTTGTAGCTCCTGGTTTGACACCCAACATATCCCAGCTATCCTTGCTGTTGCGAATCTTCCGGATGGTGTCTACTTGCTCCTTAGTGAAACTGTTGCTTGTGCTGGTTATGGGGCGCTTTCCACCATTATCACATAAATCAACAATAGCTGAGTAGAAAGTCTGCAAGCATGGAGAAGGCAAAGTTACAATGTTCTTGTTATGTGCCCATTGCTCAGTAATCTTTATTTCATTAAGCAGATCAAAGTCCAAATAATTTTCTTTGCCTTCCTTTAGCAGCTCATCCTATTGTTTTAAACTGAGAAATCATGAGAAAGGAAATGGCCTACAGCAGGGGTAGGCAACCTCGTCTCTTTTATGACTCCTGGACTTCAACTCCCAGAATTCCTGAGCCAGCTATGCTATGCTGGCTCAGGAATTCTGGGAGTTGAAGTCCACGAGTCATAAAAGAGCCAAGATTGCCTACCTCTGGCCTACAGGGACTGTGAGATTTTTAATCTTACAAGCAGAAAATCTTCAAATAGTGCAGAAGCATACAGCTACATCGTGCTGCTTTACTAAGTGCTTTCTTGGTTTATTTTCAGTTGGAATATTATGCCATGTGCCTTCAGATCTTTCATTGGATTAATTCTTGTACATTGAAACAATCTCTTGCACTACTTGTTCTTGGTTTGTTTGTTTTTTACATAAAGAGCTCTGTGCCATTTGAAAGACTAAAGGGAGGTAATTAATTTAAAATTCCTTGGAAAACTAGAGAGAACATTGCATATGCAGACAGAGAGAATAAATGAGAATTTGCCAGTAAAAGATGAGAGACCTTAGACATTTTCTCTCCAAGTCAAGAAAAGATACTGTTAGCTTCAGAATAAAACAAGAAAATATAAAATATCTTACTAATAATGTCTTAAGAACAAAAAGTGAAAAATGACAGAAAAACATCTGCATTCATGACTGGAAATATTTCTGGCATGTTTGTATTCATGCCCCCAAATAATGTTTCATATACTTGCAACAAGTCAAGGTAACAATGGTTAAAGAAAAAAATCAACAGCATTTCATTTTGTATGAGGATAAAGATTTACAAAATAAACAAAATAGTTGCTACAAAAACATCTTACAGAATTAAGGAGAAACTTCCTGACAATGAGGACAATTAACCAGTGGAACAGCTTGCGTCCAGAAATCATGGGTGCTCCATCACTGGAGATTTTTAAGAAGAGGCTAGATAGTCACTTGTCTGAGATGGTATAGGTCCTCTTGCTTGAGCAGGGGACTGGACTAGAGGACCTCCAAGGTCCCTTCCAGCTCTATTCTATTCTAAGAAGCAGATTCTCACAAGAAGAATTCAATCAAGGTTGTCTAGATTACAAAGCACAAATCATCACGCTTCAAGGAAAAATGATGCAGGAGGACTGCCTTGTTTTGCACAGTAGATTTTACCTGGAACATCTCATTAATTCCCTCTCCAGTCTGTGCAGAAGTTTCAAAATAAAGAAATCCTCTGCTTTCTGCCCACAATCGTCCTTCACTTTCATCCACACAGCGCAACTTGCCACAATCAATCTGAAACAAAAATGAGAGAACATTGTAGTATTATCCTAACTAATTATATATGCTCCTAATCCCTTTAAGCACTTAATGAACATGAGCTTTCAATGCCCTATACCAGTCTTTACCTTATTGGCACAAACCACAAAAATAATGTTTTCCATGTTTCCATGTGGTCCAAGTTCTTGTTTCATCTCAGCCAGCCATAAGTCAAGGGCATCAAATGATTCCTTTTGCCCAACATCATACACTAGGATTACACCCTGGGTGTCTTTGTAAAATTCATTGCGAACCTAATATAAGGCAGAAATAATGCAGGTGAATTTAATAGACCAGCAGACAGTTCTAAAAAAGTGACTTAAACTATAAATAAGCAGCGCATCAGCTTACATTGGGAAAATAAATTTCTGACCATTTATGTGCAACTGCAGAAATAATATAATATGTGCATTACATCTGAACAAGTCCAAGTTTGCAATATATAAATATGCCTATTTGGATAAAGTGCAAGAGTACAAATGTTTTCCATTTAGCATGCATTAGTTGACAAAAAATTATTACATCAGTACACTTGACATAGAGGTGAGAAGTTCAGGCAAAAAATCTTGGATACAATTTTGGTGTAATGTACAGATTATGGGGCTGTTTCTCAGTGATTATTTTAACAAATAAAGTGTACTTGCATGCTATGACCACTCCAACTAGTTTAGCCATTCATTCTCCTTCCAAACAACATAGCTACAAACTACTCATCCTTGGCTTATTTTCTGCTAGCAGACAGACTCAGTGCAATTACTATTTTAAGAGGGGGAAACCCCCCCCAAAAGGCATCCATAAATAAACTTACTTCAAGCCATGGACTGTGTAAAATCAGTCACCATGCCAAGTTTGCATAACGCAACCACCAAATCTAAATTATAATTCATGATTTATATCCCACAGTGGCTAGGTTCACACATTAGGCTCAGCCAAAAGGGGACTACATGATAATTTAGTGTACTGTCTGAACTCTGGCACACAGTATTGTAGCATCTGTTTGCATAACTTGTTCCGTCCTCATTGCTAAAAAAGCCATCACCTTTCTTACCTCATAAAAGAAGGAGTGTCCAGCCATGTCAAAGATATTCACTTTGATTTCTCGGTCTCTAATTTGCACTCTAAAAGGAAAAGAGTCCTAAGATGCAAGTATGGGCACTCTAAAGAATCTTCTTGCTGTTACTTAGCTAGCATTAATAAGCATCACAATATGAAAGTTTTGCCACTAACAGAATTGGGTATTGGTATAGTCATTAAAAAACAGATGAAAAGTTCCAGGATTAATTTAAGACAAGCTATAATTATTAAATAATCGACAAAAGGAGATATAAGAACAATCAGCACACAGCGGCATCACAGTAAAGAATTGATCAGACTTTTAATACTTTCCCCATGTCATACACGAAGACACCTGCAAGACAGCATTCACTGGCCTCATATTATATGCAATGGGAGGTGTATTGAATCATCACCAACTGCAAAACTGCTATTTCCACCAACAGCAGAGCAGAAAAATCACAAATGATTGTGATGGATGAACCATCAAGAGCATTTTTCCATCTCTTGCATATACAGATTTTAGCTTTGCTCACATATTTTCAAGAGCTGTTGTCGGTAGCTGCTGCCTGTTATAAAAGAACAGTACTCACTTGGTGACACCATAATCAATGCCAATTGTTGCAAGATATTTGGGCACAAATCTCTTCTCACAATATCGCTTGATGACACAGCTCTAAAAAGTAAACAAAATAGCTTGTTATCAAAGGGATAGGCTATTTATTCAGCCCAGTCTGTGCTCTGCTTTTCATAATTAATTCTAATCAAAATATTTAAAAAATGGTTTTATGTAGATCTAGCAGTTAAGTAAATACAGTAGTAGTACAACTCAAATAAATATAGCTGGAATCAACGTAAAATAAAAAAGTAATATAAAGTATGTTTAAAGTTGAACTTAAGTAATTAAGTATTAATATTTTTTATTACAGTCAACTACCAGTCAACACAAAAGATGACATACATGAAACTAATATTAACTATAAGTAAATACACATTACATGATAAAATTTAGCCACATTTAAAAACAGAGCCCACCTGAATCTGTAATAAATATGTGTAAATAAAACTGATCAAATGAGCATGGAATTTGATTTGATGTGGGTTTATCAGCTCAAAGTAGGTGTCAGCATACAAGTATAATGAAACATGCCTATTTTAATGGCTCCTAAGTAAATATAATTTTTTATTTCCCACTCAAAATGTATATTTCAGTTTTTATTATTCATATAGGCAGCACCATAAGTTTACTGTATAGCAAGAATAGAATGGAACTTCAATTCTTTTACAAAGAGATATCCTGATATCCATATAGAAAAGAAAGACCCATCTGCAGGATGCAGGCAGCACACAAAACCACGCCCCCTCCAGTCCGCGAAAAAAACTCTATGTAACTAGTCCCTGGTGCCCAAAAGGTTGGTGACCTCTGACATAGGGAGTAGGTAAGACTTGTCATTTTCATGTGAAATTTGGAATGTTGTATCAATAGCAATAGTACAGCTAGTCCTTGACTTACAACAGTTCATTTAGTGACTGTTCAAAGTTACAAAAGCACTGAAAAAAGTGACTTATGACCGTTTTTCACACTTACGACTTTGCAGCATCCCCATAGTCATGTCATCAAAATTCAGACACTTGGCAACTGACTCATATTTATGACAATTTTAGTGTCCTGGGGTCATGTGATCACCTTTAGTGACCTTCTTACAAGGAAAGTCAATGGGGAAACCAATTCATTTAACAGCCATGTTACTAACTTAATGACTGCAGTGATTCACTTAACAACTGTGGCATGAAAACTCATAAAATGGGGCAAAATTCACTTAACAAATGTTTCACTTAGCAACAAAAATTTTGGGCTCAATTGTGGTCATAAGTGACCACAATTTTTATATGTTCAAAATAAAAATACAGCCAATCAGTCAGCTTCCCAACTCCAGCCAACCTGCTTGGTTGTGTGCTGATTCATTAACTACCCTTTCTATTCTCCAAAGCACCTGAAGGCAGGACAAGAAGCAACGGATGGAAACTAATCAAGGAGAGAAGCAACCTAGAATTAAGGAGAAATTTCCTGACAGTTAGAACAATTAATCAGTGGAACAACCTCCCTCCAGAAGCGGTGAATGCTCCAACACTGGAAGTTTTTAAGAAGAGACTGGACAGCCATTTGTCTGAAATGGTACAGGATTTCCTGCCTGAGCAGGGGGTTGAACTAGATGACCTCCAAGGTCCCTTCCAACATCATCATCATCATCATTATTACCCTGAGCCATTCATCACTTTTACTCTGCTTACATCTAAGAATAAGACTATAGCAAAGCAGCTGAAGGAAAACAGAGATCTTCTCTCGTTCAACTCTTATCTGGCAGGAGCTATTCCATCATTCTACAGCATGGGTGTCAAACTCGCCACGTCACATGACATGTCACGACATATCGCGACTCTTTTTGCATTGCTGGCAATGGGGTGGACGCGGCTTTGGTATGATGAAACCAGCCCGTGGGCCGGCAGTTTGACACCCCTGTTCTACAGGAATGGGGGGAAAAGGAGGAAAGCAAAACTGTTCTGCCAGCAAGCCTGAGATAAGCAACTATTTCTATTCCAACCTGTCACTATATAAATAATGAATGAGAGTTTGGGTTTGTTTTTGCCCTGTGTGTTCTTCTCTCTACTATGTAAAGGGGAGGGTTATATTACTGGTCTTTGTAATCTACAGGTAGTGCTCAATTTATGACCACAATTGAGTCCAAAATTTCTGTTGCTAAGCAAGACATTTGTTAAGGAGTTTTGCCCCATTTTATGACCTTTTTTGACATATTTAAGTGAATCATTGCAGTTGGTAAGTGAGTAACACAGTTGTTAAGTGAACCTGGCTTCCTCATTGATTTTGCTTGTTGGAAAGTCACAAAAGGTGATTGCATGACCGTGGGGCACTGAAACTGTCATAAATATGCCAAGCGGCTGAATTTTGATCACATGACCATGGGGATGCTGCAAAGGTTTTAGGTGTTAAAAACAGTCATAAGTCATTTTTTTCAGTGCTGTTGTAACTTTGAACGGTCACTAAATAAATTGTTGGAAGTCAAGGACTACCTGTACATTGAAATATTCTTCAGCTGAACAGTGAAGTAAAATTCTTAATAATTAAATAACATTTAATTACTATGCCTTAAACCAGACTTTGTTAAGCTGCCATCATTCCCAAACATTGGCTCTGCCAGTTGTGGCCATGAAAGTTCTAATCCAAAACTTCTGGAAGGCATCAGATTCTGAAAGGCTAAAACAATCCATGATCAAGATGAATAGAACACGGCTGGGCAGTGACCCAGATCTAAAGGGATTCCAGTCACGCATGTGGACTGCATCCGTTGGTACTTCTTTAAATCAAATGTGCCTTCCTAGAATCATGTAGCTCTGAATCACCCTTTCCTTTTCAAATTCAGATCTCTGCACAGGCCTAACATAAAAGACAACAACTCCCACATGAACTTACACAATTAAAATAAATGGGATTGGAAGGACACACAAGTGGAATTAGAATAATTATTTTATTTGCTGGCTGCCCTGCTCCTAAAGACTAGGCTGGGTATTTGTTTAATAGAGTGGTCCTCATTAATGATTTATTGAACTACAATTACAAAGAAATTGTGAAGCACTAATATAAATGTGCATGAATACTAAGAAACTGTGCAGTGCAGTCTGCCATCTCACATCTTTCTGCTGAATTACATCGCTATTGTTAACATTTAAACTATCTCCTGCCTATTCAAATTACTTGTTTACAATAAAAATCTAAAAATATGTGTGTGTTGTTCCTACCGTTTGTTCCACTTTGTTGCAAATTTTGATTATTTTTGTGCATTCGTTTCAGTTCACATAATGGAGCTATCAGTGTCTGATGCAACATGGAGGGTTTGTCTTTCAGCCAGCTTGTCCCAGAGCCTGATAATGATGATGAGTGAGAGGGAGTGACTGGCCCATGATCACCAGCTGCCTTCTCTGCCTGAGAGAAAACTAGAACCTGGGTCTCCCTGCTTCTAATTTATTTTTAAATTGCTAGAAAATAGAGGAAGTAAATATAAAATAAAGTAGGTGCAATAGAGACTGCAGCATTGTAAGCTAATGCTTGTATTTAGAGTGCATTTGAGACAGGGAAATCCAATAATTAATTTTTTATTTTTGTATTTCATTTATATAACATTTTTATACAGCTAAACACTCTGGTCAGCAAACAGATAAAAAAAGAACGAAGCAAGAATCCACTATATAAAAATTACAAAATTAAGTTTCTTACTAAACTTAACAGATATGCCTGCACCCACATCAGAGTTCCATTAGTAACTTGGGTCAAGTTTTCACAGCCTTCTGGAAAGTTAGAAATCATTTGAAGAGCATTGGACTGAGAAAGACAATTCTACCAGTATAATCTAAGAAGTACATCTAGATCCATCTCTCCATACTTTTAGATAGTAAGTACATATTTGCATATAAGACCCATTTTCAATTCCAACAGTATCCAGTGTTGTATGTTCTGATCAAGGAAATCTTCATTTTAATGGAATCTGGATGCTATACTGCACACACATCAGATTAAAGCACAGAAAACAAGTCTTGACTCAGTGGTGGCATTCACTTATATTAGATAAATGTAGAATAGCTACCCACACAGACAAGTTGTGACAATAAATAAATATCTAATATCTTGAATAGGAGCAGAATAAAATGAAAAATAGCAGTGTTCCATCTTGAGAGTCCCAGATCATATGGTTTCAACTTTTAAGAGGCACATGTCAGGTTTGACACAATTTATTAGAACTTATTGAATTGATTGATTTATAACTGATGCTTGTTATATTGCATCATATATATTTTACTTTTATGCTGTTAACTTTTTGACTAAAGAATTAACCCAATGAAATAATAAAACAATTTTCTTGGTCAGTTCTCTTAAATGAGAAGCTGTTTACCATTTTTTATTTTTATATTAACCAACAGTGATTTTATCTGCGGACCAATTGCTGCTTCAAGAGTTCTTGTAGGTTGAATCTTTTTTCAATATTCACCACCAGCTCTCTGGGTTGCAAGAATCCCCATCTTCATGACCAATAAATGGCAGCCAAGAATCTTGTGTTTCTTTGCTGCGTCCTAGTGACCTGTCTGGATATTTTGCAGCCAAAATACAGTATGGTAAATTTAGCTAGACAGCAAGTCAAATAAAGTTGCCACTGCCTTCATCTAACATACCTTGCAGAGTTTACATGTGAATAAATGTAATGAAATAATCCATATCATTTAAAAATCTTGGGTAGGATGTATTTATTTAATGTTAATTATTCTTAACAGTTTTAAAAAAAATGTTTTAATTGGTTTTATGATGCTCCCGAGTATTTGTTATGGGTGGCCACATAAATTTGATAAATAAAATAAAAATTAATAACACATAGCAAAACATTTTGGAAGTTTCACCTTAACCCAACTCCTCTACCTCTCCAGACCAAATAAACCACAACATTCTATTCCACAAACGATCGAGTGTCACAACGGCCTAATAAAGCAAAGAGACCTAATTGGTCAGCCAGCTTGTCGTTCTCCTGCTTCGGACCAATAAGGCGCCTCTGCTTCTATTCCTACTTTTTTTTTACCTTGCCAACCTCGGCGTTACCCATGGAGATTACTTTGATCCTTAAAGACTTGCGCATTTCTTTCCGTTTCGTCTCCATCCTAGCGAGTAAGACTAGAGAAGCTGACAGCTCACTTTCTTCACGGGGTCTGACTAAAACTCAACAGACTGGCGCAAATCACCATCACAATGCCCCGGCTCCAGTCCTTACTTCCGTTATCTCCGTCTCCATAGTCGGTTCAACAAGGCTAGTAAAGCCCCAACAATGCTTCGCGAGTCTTCATGATATCGCGAGAATTATCTAAGGACTGTCTCCGGGCGCTCAATGCAAAAGCAAGGAAGTCTCGCGAGATCTAATCAGAGTGGTCCTTTCGGTAGTCGGAAAGTAAGCGAATTTGCCGCGTTTCTGTTTAATCAGAGGCAAGTTTGACTTCAAAGTGATTATTTCTAGATAAGCTGCTACAGAATCGCAGCGTTCAGTGCTATAGTTACCTGGAATAACCCTGTTCGAGTATATGTATCTCATTTTGTCTAGAATTGTGCTGGAAGCGAAACTGTTTAATGGAACTCCCTTTCCATTATGAAAAATCTGGATTCCTACTTCTGAGACTGCAGAAGCCGGAAAAGTGCTGGATGTATATTAGGCAGAGAGCTTGGTCTCCCCAGAGACCAAATAGTGAATAAAGACAGCAGGCAGAAAATGTCTGGGAGTTTTGCATTTATTATATGGCTGTGGAAATAATTTATTTTAACGCAGCAGTGGTGCACGAGAGGAAAAACTGAACCTCTCTAGTGTTTCTGTTCGGTGCATTTCTTCGGAACCCTTCATGAACCATGCAGCATTCTGCCTTGTTAAAAAGAAGTCTAGCTTTACTGCAGAAATCTTCATGCTGGATTTGATTATTGAGTGGTGAAGGAAATGAACACTGTACAAAGAGGCTTTTTAATGGCAAGGAATCTTGGAGATGTAATCCAACTCCCTGCTCAAGCAGGAGACTTTATACCATTCCAGACTGTCCAGTGGCTTTATCTTAGTATTGTGCATCACATTCTCAAAGCAATAGAACAAGAGGTATTGGACCTAATTTTGATTTATGAAGTTAGATTTTTTGCAACAAAATAGCACCACCTAGTGAAAAAAATTTAAGATTATCCTTAAACCAGACGATCTATGTATGCTGAGCAGGACTTTAGGCTAGAAAAAACACATTCAAGTGAATTTTGATAGTCAACCGCAGAACTATAGAAAGCTATATTATAAACATTTCAGTATATACAACTAATCATTTGTGGAGAGGCGAATAAAATTTTAGATTATATTCCCAGCAGAAGAGAGAACAACAGTTATGATAGGCAACTGAAGATTTTTTTAAATTAGGAAGCCAAAAGGAAAATACATAATAGTGATTGGAAAATATCCCCCATTATCTCTGCTCCAGTTTTCTTTACAAGATGTGATTGATAATCTGAATTAGAATTAGGGTTGCCAGGTGTCCACTATTTGAGCGGACAGTCCACTTTTTTCCCATTATGTTCACTATTTTTTTTCACAAAATAGTGGACATTTTTTTTATTCAAAAGCTTTATGATGAAATGGTACGTAATCTAAAGCTGTACAGTCTACTTTTTTTACTACTTAAACCCCCCCCCCCGCTTGTCCGCTATTTTTTGGAAGCAGAACTGGCAACCCTAATTAGAATTATAGCATTTCTCTTTAATATATTAATGTTATTGAACATTACAATCAAAAAGATAAGAACTAATATAAACCAATAAAGTAAAAGAATAAAAAGAAAAATAGGATGGACAGAAAAGAAAAAAATATATAAAGAAAAGACTTCTCCATCACAGCAAGTTTAAACAATTTTAGTAACATATTATCTTGGCTTAAAATACAACAAATAATCTCTTCTTCCCATATCTCATCTCTAATTTTTTTTAAAGCCTCAACATTCAGTCCTAGTCAGCAAAAGTTATTTTTTGCATGTAATTTTATTTTATTCAAAACAAAATACAAAACTCCCAAAAAAATTGAATAAAAGATAAACAAAAAACAAAACAAACAGGACATTAAACAAAATAGTGCATTAAAAAAACAAACACAGAAACATATATTGTCCCCCTTAGTTGAATACTGATAAATATATTGCAACAATATTAGTTTCCCATCCCTTGTAAAACAGCCCCCCCAAATTTTAAACTTCTAATTCTATTTGCAAATTATTAACCTCTCATCTATCTGCTATATTAATAACAAAATAGTTAACAGATAGAGCAACAAAACGAGTAAAAATTTTAAAACCCTCTGTTAACAAACTATTACTGTATACAACTCATAAAAGTCTTCTTATCTATCCCAAATCAACCCAACAATTAACACTAATTTGTCCTGGATCAAATATCCATGTTTGTTTCTTAATACCATCTCTTATCAGCAAAAGTCTATTAAGGACTATAGATAACAATATATTTTAACCTTGATCAAATAAACCAGTTTTATAATCTGTTCTTTTATTTATAATTATCTTTTTATATTTCTTCTCTTTTAACAATCTTAATGCTTAATTCACTCAAATAATGTCCTCAAATTGACATTATTTTTTTGTTCCTTCTCACAAAATGCTTCATAACTTTAACAAATCTCTTTTGTAAATTCCATGTAGGTTATCCAGGTCACTCTTTTACCTTGTAAGACATAAATTGGTTTCATTTTATATCCAGTGTAGCGTCTCCTTCCACATTATTACCATAGCCCATCATTTTAAAATCCGTTTTCAAATCAATCTCAGTCTTATCTGATAAAGTTTGCTCAACTTCCTTACCATCTTCCAAACACAATCTGTCTACAAGGGCAGACATTTTAAAAATTAACGTGAGTCCTTCATCACAAATATCCTTTTATATGTCCAAAATTAAACTATTTTGCTCCATTCTTCGTTAGTAAGTCAAATTTAAGTGCTCTTCTCCTTTCATTTTAATCTTTAATTCCTTCTAGTTCCCTCTAAGTACAATCTTCAAAATTCCAATTTAAAATTTTTAAGTATTCAAAACAACAGCATTTTCCCAAATCCAACTCTAATTCCAGAAACTTATTTCAAATCCATCTGGAACCTTAGCCTGTTTATAGCTTTCTAAAATTAATGTTCTAATCATCCTTTTGCTGCTTATTGCAAACAAGAGGAAAGATTTTTATGTCTTTAAATTTATTTTTAAAACTTTCAGTAAGGATTAAAGGAAACTCACCTGGTGCATGTTATACTATTTGATGATCAGAAAATTCTTAATAGTTGAAAAACAGTTAAAAAGCAATATTCAGAAGCAATTTAGAGAGGAAGTATGCAAACCCAGATGTTGAACTTGCAGTTTGAGCTAAGTTAAGTTCTAAACTCTCTGGAGAGTGCAATTTTGTGATCTCCTCATGAGGATCAATAGTTTCATTCCATACAGCATTAACCTTGTGAACTTTCAAGCCTCCTCCTTCCATTATATATTCAAGATGGACAGTATTTAATACTTATTTGCTTTGTATATGTAGGGGTGTGGGTCTATACATATGTTGTACATAGTATGTTTTAGGTGTGTGTCATGTATGTGTTTCACTTTGAGAGCAGGCAACTAAATTTAATTTTTGATGTGTGCCATTGTGCCCACAGTAAAAAAATGACAATAAAGGTTATCTTATCTTTGTGGGCAATACCAATTCTCTCCTTGTGTGGAGAGAATTCGGAAAGAGTCAGTTCTTTCACTGGCTCTTCATTCCACTGTGATCATTGGCTCCATTCTCAGTGGAATTATCTTCAGTTCACCATTTCTGCCCTGGAAGAATAAGAGCATTTCCACATTATCATTATTTTTATTCTTTAAACTCAAAAAATAATCTGAATCTGATTACTTTCTTTGCTATCAGTTTTGGAACACAAGGAATATGCTGAGATCAAATGAGCCCATCAGTCTGCCTCCAACCTGAAAGGAGTGGAAAAACCCCATTTAATAATCATCCTGACCCTCATGAGTTATCATGGTCCTGGAAAAACAAAAATGTTCTCGTTCCATGCACAAAAGATAGTAAATCACTACAATGTTACTAGGATATGAGAGTATATGAGGAATGATGGTTTGTTAAAAGAAAAAGAAACATCCAAGCCATTTTATTACCAATGCTATATTGCAACTGAAAATGAAATGATATCATTTGGAATTTAAGTACTCTCAAATCAGATCCAACCTTTGGCAGTTGTAAACATGCCATCTCAACTGCTCCCAATGATAATTTATTGCCCTTTCAAAGATATTTCAACTCCATAATTCTAGTATCCACATTATCTCTTCTACTTTTCTTTAGACTTGCCAAGCATAATTTTTTTTCTATGCTGTCATCTCCCTAGCATAAATGAGGTTTTTCTTGCTAATCTTTATTTATTTATTCAGTTAATTAATTTATACAGCCTTCCATTTGTCATGCCACTTACTTCAAAGAAGTCAGTTTTATTTCTTTCAAGACTTCTTGCAGCACATGCTTCTTTTAATAACTATCTCCATATCTGAGATTCAAAATATATAATTCATGATTATTCCTTTCTCAGCAACTAAGCTTCACAATTATACATTATAATGGGATAAGACATTATTTAACTATTATGATCTTGATTGTCATGGAAATATCCTTCATGAACTTGTCTAGGTTTTTATTGCTTTCTCTTCTAGGATTACTCTCTTTACTTTTCTAGTCCAGACATGTCAAACACAAGGCCCGGGGGCCGGATGCGGCCCGCGAAGTGGTTTCATGTGGCCCGCGAAGCCATCCTGGAAACAGTGAGGGAACGGCCCCCACTGCCTTGGCCCTGGCCCAGGACGGCCGGGAGCTAAAGTACAATTTTGTAGTGGCACCACTATCCAGCCCCCCCCCCCCGCATGGCCTGAGAGGAACAGTGAGGCTCCTCCATGGACCATGCCTTGGCGCTTGCCCTGGTCCCACCCCCTTCTGCCAGAGACCCTCAGATCTGTCCCACTCCTGCCCAGGCCCCCACAGGCCCCCTTGACGCGAATGATATAGAGCTGGCCACGTCCACCCAGTAAGCCACACCTGCCCTGGCCACACACACCCCGAGGGCAATCGCAATGCTTATGCGGCCCTCAATGAAATTGAGTTTGACACCCCTGCTCTAGTCCAATGTCTATCTTTATCTGGCCTTGAAAATTATATTAACATCATTACTTATTCATCATGAATGGTGAATTAAGTAATCATT